AGTACTCCACCGCTTTGAAGGTGGCGGTTCTTGTATTTCTTCCGGCCTTGGCGTTGCTGCTCGGCAAGCTTGGTATTGTACAGATCGACCATCGTTTGCTTTAACTCGTGGCCTTGGGAGATTGCACCTTTAACGTAGCGTTGAAGGTTATGTACGAAGACCTCCTTCTCAATATCATCAATTGGGTCAAACTCAAGGAGACGTTGGCCAACTGATTCAAACTTCCGTACGGTATGGGGGTACCAAAGGGGATGAATACGGCTCTGCAGGTAGCTCTGTCGGCGGCGTCTGGTCCCGTACCCTCTCTTTGAGTCTCTCGAGGATTGGCTTTGGATTGAATGGGTGGATTCCTGTTTTTGAATGCCGAGAGGATTGTAGACTCCTTGAAGGCTTTGACGCGGATTGATTGGATCATAGCGAGGAACTCCAGCTTGGTGATTTTACTCGCACCACTGCGAATAGCAAAATCGACTGCCCGACTGTGGTAATGTTTATACGGCTGAAATACCACGACGTCAAGCGGTTGAAGGAGATGCGTAAGATGCGGAGGCAATGCAAAGAGCACAATATTATGGGCTTCAGCGTACTCGATAAGGTCAAGGGTATGGTGGGAGCCGTGGCCATCAAGGAGCAATAGCCTCCAAGCACCTTTGCTCTTTGCATGCTTATCGAAATGTTGAATCCACGCTAGATTGAGCTGATCGTTCGTAAATCCCGTTTCCGTAACACCAATAAGGGTATCGCCATCTAGCTCCTTGATGCCGTACCACTGTTCGAGGTGGACCTTGCCGGATAGGATCAAAAACGCAGGGATGTATCGACCATCGGCAGAAATCGCTTCAACGGCTGTTGCCGACTCCCTGTTTTCCTCAATACCAAAGTATTGCGATCGCCTTGATTTCGTGACGACAACTTGGTCCCTGCCAATACCAATACGGAAGCCCGTCTCGTCCATATTCCAGATATCAGCCGGGTTAATCCCGTACGAGGCAATCGTCTCGTGGAGCTTCTTGAAGTACTCGGTAACGTGCGGGACTGATTCGGCAAGCTTGCGTTGGTTATCGAGTACCTTTGCTTCATAATATGATATCCCTTGCGTTTAATAAAACGGGATATCCAGTTTTGCCAACAAAGCATTGGGAGTCGAAGGGTTCGTTGCGGGTACCATCAGGGCCGACCGTGGAGCTTAGAACCCGATTTGCTGCATCGCGTAATAAGTCCTTCCGCACCGCAAGTCCTATACGCTCAAGACGATCGATATACAGATCGATTGAGTCCTCTTGAGCTGGCGATAGCCTCGTATGCGTTGCTTTATGGCCGCTGCGAAGTTGGATGCCGTGAAATCGCAAGCGGAGTCGTTCGCGTGGAACCCCAAATTCCTTAGCCGCAGCGCGAAGGGACATATTGGGATTTGCCTCAATGGCTTTAATAGCCTCGGCTACGCGCCTTTCAAGCGTAAGCTCTTTATTCTTCATAATGTGCCGTTGTTGAGGTCAAGATAGAGGCTTGAAGCGGTGAAGTGACACAGCCAGGTGGTTGACACAGACAGGTGGTGAGGACCCACTTTACGTGGGTCTGTGGGACAGTAGACTGAATGAGTCCTAGCATTACGCAGATTAAGACCCTTGCTCTCGAAGGCCCTCCTATAGCGAACGAACGATTCGTAGAATTCGACCGAAATTGAGACGGTTTGGAACGACCACTGGGCGGGGGCATATAGCCAAAAATGGCGTTCTCAAGTCAGGTCGAAGTACCAATTTTCGCATTGTATCAGCCACTTTTACCCTGTGGAAAACTCACTCGATTGAGCACCAACCAGCGCCACTTCCAAGTATCTACAAGAGCTCGTATCATCGACGAAAACCATCGCAGATTACAGTACAGTAATGTAGAATCGGGTAAATAGCAGACCGGACAGTGCCAGTTGGAGTCCAACTACAGACAGCTCCACTAACGACATATGGCTCCGCATTGACTTGGCAACCCCCGTCATGGCCTCCGGTCAGTTGAGGCATTTTTTTTGCCGCGATACGGTCTAGGGGCCGAAATGTCCGGGTTCTGCGAGTTGTGGTAGAAAATGTACGAACCAACATTACGTAAAAGCCGAATGCGCTCTTAGCTGTATGCACCCTAATATGAATCTAATGACATACCGGTACATTGCGGCATCATTCCCACTCAACCACAATGGCTTATAAGGCATCCAAGAATGACCGCAAGGTACTTCGAGCAATTTCACTAGCGTTTTGTATACTGAAGAGCTTTCGGGGTCGCCGAGTTAGAGATATTTTTTGCTCCTTTAACAGATATAAATAATGCAATATGAACCATTTTTGCGCTCATGTTCTCAAAACTCAATGCCCGTTCAGGCGGAATCCCTGCCGGCATGATCCTTTGAAATGCTGAGACGCAAGAAGGCATTCCGACAAAATGACTTAGAGGTCACTACGCGAGCTCAGCTAGTCGCCTACTTGAATCGCAGCCCAGAAGCGGACTATATGCCGCTTTCTCAACAGACGGCAGATAGTAAACGCTGGGTCGGCGAGCATCGCCAGCATCGAAGTCGCCAGCTAGCTGTAGTTCAGAAGGTCGAAAATACGTCTCTAACAGACTTCAGAGCCCTTGCTCAAATTGCTGATGCAGGGATTGCTCGCCTTATTGCACTTTATCACCGAGACCAGGCGTTTCATGTCGTCTACGAACACGTCGACTTATATCTTTACGACTTGTGCCCACTATCGGAAGGAGAAATTGCAGAGATCATGTCTCAGGTACGGTCCACTTACAAGCTCTCTCACAAGCAACGACTACCCATCACATAGGTCCTAGCGGGGGTACGTAAACTCAGACAGCTATCGCTTGGCTTTTGCATAGACTGCGTGCGAGTCACTGCCCAAGGTTCCGTGAAACTCGGTCAGTCCTCAACATCGGCCATCAGCCTCGTGGCATACCGGCAACTAATCTATTCAGTACTTGACTGGAGCCACGAGTCTGTTGTTGGGCCCTTAATCCGACAAGTATTGCAGGAAACTTCCACATTATTCCTGTATGAGACAATGGAGAGACTGGGTAACAACAGCTCCTTCTGGTCGCCTGATGCTTCAATGTTTTTAGAGCGGCTTCGCGGCGGAAACATCCCGCTTACCACGGTACGTTCAGACCTGGTTCAAAGCCGAGGTTATCTGTCTGATGAAAGGGAAGGACCCTTTTCTTGACAAAGCCCAAAGCTTACGGGCAGCGGCACAATTTGCTATTCGGAAGAAACTGGCAGGGGGTGTATTTAAAGTCACCAGAGAGGGGGACCGGCTTTTCAACTCAACCTGAACTTACGACGGCAGGTTATATACCGGTACAAAGCCAACCGCTTGGCAAGGCAGGACACTTGACTTGGTCCTATCTCACGGAAGATAAGCAAAGCAGGCATAAAGATCAAGGACTGGAAGACTCTTGTCACACAGAGTATATAAACGCCCTTCGGGCTGAATCAGCCTCCAACAGTCTGATTCCCCTATTCGCATAGTTAGCCTGTTGATGTAAGGCGCACACAACTAAACAGAGAGTGAAGAACGGGGGTCAATCATTCAATTCATTGATCTCTGAAGATCCCATAAAATCCCGAGAATAGGCACCCATCTTATATGATAGCATCCTCCGTTTCCTGACGGCCTACTCCGAGACATCTCGGAGGTATTCCTTCTCCTAGCGCGTGACAGTTGAAGTGGGTCATCAGAACCCCTGAACCCCTGAAAGGCTCTCTGAGGAGCCTCTGACAGTGGCTTGGAAGTGATATATTAAGGTGGCATTTCTCTGTTTTTACTTAAAGATTTCTTCAACCTTTTAATGAACACTCAATCCGCTACACAGCATTCAACATAGCCTATATTTTAGGTCGTGGCAGTTTGTAATGCCATATTAGTGATGGATTCGAATCTTCTGGATGACATCGTCATCTAGGCTGCATGGGTGGCGACATCGCCACTCAACCCAACGTCACAAGTATAAGAAGCCAACTTCTCAGCATCACTTAGATAGAGAATCAAGAGTTCTTCAGTCCCCGATCTTCATGCTTGCTCAGCTCATCCTCCGTGCGATAACTCTTAATTCTGATTTCTACGGTGGGAAGAAGGCGAGGTCTTTATGGACTGCCTGAATGAGTGGATAGAAAGTAATGGTAGCATCTTGTAAGAGGCTGGCTCGGGGTTTATTCAACAGGTAGGTGCATAGGTGTTATCTTGTCGCGAAGCACGTCTGAGATCTTGAGCTCGAGGTGACCATAAGGGGTATATGTGACGGTCACGGACTGAGCCAGAAGGCTGTGGACTCTATTACGAAGATTCTGCTCTGAAGAAGAGAAAGGAGAACCGAACAATACAACTGGGTGTCCTCTCCCTAAATATGCCTTCCGTACGCGTGGGCCGTTGGCCCAACAACATGTGGGTCATGTATGCAAGGGGGGTGTGACGGTGCTAGGCCGTCACACTACCCCCCCTAAAGCCGTCGAACACAAACGGTGGAGATGGCTCCTCACGAGTGTCGTCGCAGTCGCCGTCGCTCATGCCCACGGCCGACAGCCTTGTTGTCATCGTCGTGACTCTCTGCCCACCTGTCTTCCGCTGCTGCTAGCAGCCATTCTGCCAATCGTACAGGCGGTCCCGGTGCCTCGGGATATTCGTCGTGGAACCGCCTTAGAGCTGCCGCACCATTCTTGAACCCTTCAGCGTCGTAGTATAGCTCGTCAGGGTCCTGTCCTGCCCACTCGGCTCGGTACTGTAATTTTCCCCCTTGAGATCCTTGACGACAATATTTTCGCCACCTCGTACTCTGGCTCGCCGTTAATCATCTCGGCCGGCGGAGCTTCCACTTGCTGTCCCGGCAGCGGGTCTCGCGCAGCCCTTCTCAACCGGTCGGCATGCAGCACCTTTGCCACCCTCATGCCTTTGGGTAGGTCCAGCTCGAATGAGTGACCCCTTTTTGCCACGATTCTGAACGGACCCGCGTTCTTAGAATCTAGCCGCGTTGTTGGCCTGTCAGTTGACCAGCCCCTTTTCGAAACAAACACCCAGTCACCGACATCGAAATCGGGCACTCTTCTCTTCGAATTGGCTGATCGTTCCTGGCGCCTTTGAGCCGCTTCCACGTTCTTTTTTGCCAGCGAACAAACTTTCTTGGCTCGATTCACAAAGTCCTTGGCTGCATTTTGGGCGTCGGTCCAATCCCCGACCTGCTTGTCGGTCGGTATATGAACGAAAGCCGCGTGGGGTGCTCGCCCTTGAGAGGCCTCGATCGGAGTCATGCCTGTTGAGTCGTGCGGCGTGGAGTTATGCGCGAAGTCTAACGCCGCCAGATGCTCACTCCAATCGTCTTGAAAATACGACACGTAAAACGTCAAGCGTTGGTCAAGATACTGGTTGGTAATCTCCACGCCTCCTTGAGTCTGCGCATGGTAGGCACTGCCGAATTTGTGCTCTGTTCCCGTCATCTCGTTGACCTTGGCCATGAATTTCGAAATGAACTGTGGTCCGTTGTCGGAGAGCCAAATCTTCGGTAGACCGAGGTGGCCAAACACGCGGCGGTAATATCGCTTGGCCAGTCTTTCGGCGGTGTCTGTCTTTTCCCGGAATCGTGAGAATCAGCTTGCTCAGTTTGCAGATGAACGTCCAAACGTAGTCGAATCCATTTCGATCATTCGGCATGTCCTTTCCGTCCACCAGCACGGTATGCCAAGGTTCCTCTGGGACAGGCAACGAATGGAGCAATCCAGGTGACTTATCTTTCCACACTTTGTTCCTACGGCATGCCTGGCAATTGCGTGCGTAGCGCGCGAGATCCTCATCCATACGTGGCCAGTAATAGAACGGCCGCAGCATCGCCTTCATCTTGTTCTTCCCGGGATGACCCCTTGATTTGGGTTCGTGGACTTCCCGGATTAAGGCAGTTCGCAGTGCGAGCCCTTCTGACGAGTACTCCGGCACCCAGATACGATCTCCCTTCTGCCGGTCCTCCTTGGGAATCTGCTTCTCATTTTCCCGGACAATCAGCTCCACAAGGAACACTCCGGCTGGTGCCTCCCCAGATACTGCTGGGCCGCGGTCCTCAGAATGTGCCGCGATGTCTAGGGGAGCAGCTTCGACATGTGTCTCCTCGAGAACTTCTGCGGGTACCCGATCGTTCGGGACCAGTTCCATGGTGCGGGAATCCAGGTCTCTGGCTCTGACGGTCTCGAAGTTCTCGCTTTTCCGGGACAGGGCATCTGCAATTATGTTCTCCTTCCCGGGTCGGTACGTCATCTTGTAGTCAAATTCCGACAGAATCTGTGCCCAACGGGCTTGTCGAGATGATAAAACCCGCTTTGTCGCAAAGTACTTGAGAGCTTCATGGTCCGTTACTACTTCAAAAGGGCCCCCAACCAGCTATGGCCTCCACTCTTCCAGGGCGCGGATGATGGCGAGGAATTCTCGGTCTTGGATAGGCCATACCGTCTCTGTTGACGACAAGGTCTTGGAGAAATAGGCCACCGGCTTCCATGAGTTGTCGTTCTGTTGTTGTAAAGCGGTGGCGCCTACCGAATGCCTTGACGCATCAGTCTCTACCCGAGTTGGGGCGCCTATCTTCCAGAAGCCCATTCCGGGAGCTCGGACCAGGGCTTCCTTGAGTGCCTCAAAAGCCGCTTCCTCTTGCTTGCCGATCTTGAAGATTGCCCCTTTCTTCAGGAGCTCGTTGAGCGGGTGCGCCAGCTCGCTTACTTCTTTCGAGAAGCGTCGGACAAAGTTAACCAATCCGAGGAAAGATCGGATGGCTTTCGTAGATTTTAGGTCTGACAGCCTCCACTCAAGGATGGCCTGTTTATTCTTAGGTCAAGGGCGATACCTTCCCCGCCTTAATCACCAGCCCGAGGTAATCCACCTCGGTGACGCAAAAGGAGCTCTTCTTGATGTCACCCTGTAGGCCTGCCGCTGCCAGTCGTCGAATGACTTCCTCGGTCTGGCGCACGTTTTCCTCGGCCGACTCTGAATAGATCAGGATGTCGTCGGCGTACGAACTGCAGTAGATGTCCAGGATATCCTCAGGCAGTCGTTGATAAAGCATTGAAAGATTGCAGGGCCGTTCGTCAGCCCAAAGGGCATCACCTTCCAACGGAAAGTTCCCAGCCGGCACCGAAATGCCGTCAGATCCATACTTTCGAGGGCCATTCGCAACCTATGGAAGGCTTGACGGATGTCGATTTTTGTAAAAAACTTGGCGCTTGCTAGTTTTACCAGGGTATCTTCTAACAGAGGCATGGGGTACTTCATCTTTGCACTGGCGTCGTTGAGGTCCCGGTAGTCGATCACGAATCTCCAATCCATGCCCATGTCACCCTTGGGCACAAAGAAGGCTGGTGAGGCAAATCCAGGCCAGCAGCTCTCGATGAAACCCTTGTCCAGGTAATCTTGAATCGTCTTTCGGAGTAGTTCGTCTAGATGATGTGGGTTGCGGTAGACACCTCTCGAACGCTCTGGCAATGGTTTGGTCAGGTAGATCTTCATGTCCCTCCCTGGGCCGCGGAGAGGAGGCAACTGGTTAGACTCCTTCTTCGAGAAAATCCAGCCAGATGGCCCAGCGGGGTCGGGAGTTTCTCTTTGATCAAGCGGACCGTCTCGTCATCCTCACCCCGTGGAAGTGGGATAACTGGGCGGGTGTCCTTCGGTGGTACCTTAGGCATCTCTGGCGTTTGCGGGTTCACGTGAGCCACCGTAACACTTCTTCGAGCCAATTCTCCGAGGCGCGATGCACTCTGAATTCCCTTAAGGCGGGCTGTCAGCAGTCCTGTAGTTCCCGGTCCTGTCGCGGGTTTAGAAAGCTGGCAACCACCCCGTCGGCCTGCAGAGTCGTGGTCGTGGGGTGGTCCATCCTGCGGCAATTGACTCTGGTCGACTTGGGTCCCCTTTGCTCCTGGAGACGCTAGTTCATGAATTCTTGGGGCTTGCGCTTGTGCCGAACACGTTGGCGGCCCGCCGGCATTGCTCTCCTGGCCGGCCGGACGCTGGTCGGTAGCAAGACGACCACAGTCACGGATGACGTCCTCTTGGTCGTCCGTTTTCCCCTTCCTTGATAGGCTCCGTACCGGAAACAGCGCGGATTTGCTGCGGATTATCGGCGTCGACTCGCATGGTTGGAATCGTTGGGTTTCGCCAGGACGGCTTCCCCAGACTGTCTCGTCTTCGGTCCGATAATCTCGTCGCGCCTTCCCGTCCTGATGACCAGAGAAGTTTCCTGAGTCCAGGCGCAACGGCGACCCTGTGTTGTTCAAACCATTTCCTGCCAATGATGATGTCGTAGTCCATCCGGACGACCAAGAATGGTAAGTTCTTTAGAGTCGTCCATCAATCTCGAAGTCCATAAAAAGAACCTCCTTGATCGGGTGTTTGTGCTTGACTCCCGCGTAATCCTTTAGGTGAATTGGCTGATCAAGCCTCTTCCTCTGGGCCCCAAGTTGTGAGACCGCTCTTCTCGCTAACCTATGGTTAATGGCGAGATACATACTCGCTCCGGTGTCTGCAAGGCACGAATGAGAATAGACATGTTGTTCAATTTAAGGTGAGATGAGATTGTCAGCTGTTTGCCCCCTATGAGTCTGTCCAAATCCGCCGCTCCAATCACAGACACCAAGTCGGCCAGGAACGAGACTTTGTCCTGGCCTACTCGTTTCCGACTCCGAACTGCTCGAGTCTGGGTCGCAAACTTTGCCCTTGCCCGTGGCGGTGTTGGTTGTCGCTGCGCTGACTGGGGCCGCCTGCTCTCCACGGTCTTCGTGGCTGCCTTTCCGGGTGTTGTTGTTGCGGGTGCGACAGAATGGGGCGATATGCCCAGATTCTCCGCACCGGTAGCACAGGTTATTGATGCGGCGACGTTCCTCTCTTCCTCGGAGATACGGTTCCCTCCAGCTTCCCGGCTAGCCCCTTCGTTGTCAGTTTGTTCCCGGTGGCGACCCGGGCATTGTTACGGTTGCCGCCATTGTTCCGAACCCTCGGCTACCACTACTACTAGAGTGGTTGCGCTTCTTTGCGCTTCGGAAAAGTTGTGGCGGGCCACGAACACCTGGTGCTGTGCTGACTCACAGAAGTCCTCGTAGCGCACTTTCGTATCGTAGACCCTCTCGACCACCGCTTGGTTGACCGGCGCAGGAAGAGAGTCCCACAGGGTCTGTTTCTGCATTGAAGGTTGGTACCCCGCCGCCTCGTACATGGAGTTGAATTCCCCCAAGAAAATATTGAAGTCCTTCTTCCAATCGTATTTGCAGACACGCAGCTGGGCGCGGGCGTCGGCGCCTTTGTTTGGGTTTGTGTGCGCTGTCTGGAGGACCTGGATTAGTTCGGCCAATGTTGTGAAAGGCCGAGTCAGCGAGTGGTGGCGTCCTTCTCCGGTCTTATACGCGGTGCCCTCGAGACGCGTAATCACGAAGTTGATCCGCGTCTTCTCAGAGGCGAAAGTATCGTTGTCCTCCTCGAACTTGCCCTCTACTTGCTTAATCCAGCTTTCAAACGAGGAGTCCTTCGCCGGAGAACATGGTGGGTTTCTCTCCCACGTTTCCGTCCTCTCTATAGTTTGGGTTGGTGCCATCCATCGACTCATATCTCCGGAAGGCTAAAAGGGCCGCATATCCTGACGGCCGGAATTCTTCGCGGTCGTCAAAGGCTGTTCCTTCCCGTTGGCCTGGTGTGCTGACTTCATCTTCACCATATTGGCTGTCTCTTGGCTCGGTCACTCGTACTTGGGCGACCAAACGGGCCACTTCTCGGCTGATGTGGTCGGTTAATTGCTGTCTCTGCTCGGGAGACAATTCGGTGAACAAGCCGCTGCTGCCCTCCTGATTGGTGCTGTCAGCCATTTTAGGTCCCTGTCCTTCCTGGATGGTTATGTGCGATTCGATGGTCCCTGAACTGTTTCTTTGGTCTTGATCTCGGTCTTGATCTTGGTCTTGGTCTTGGTCTTGGTCTTGGTATTGATCTTGATCTTGGTCTTGGTCTTGGTCTTGGTCTTGATCTTGGTCTTGGTCTTGGTCTTGGTCTTGGTCTTCGATGCTTGGTAAGACGGGTCGTGGGAGCTGCGATCTATGGAGGGCCGTGTCCTGTTCAAGTGGGCCGGCCGAGCGCAGTCTTGGCATGGGGTAAAGTCGTGGCGTTTTTATGAATCGCTCGGCAGCGATGGCGTGGTCGAGAGCAGAATAGTGTGACGGTCACGGACTGAGCCAGAAGGCTGTGGACTCTATTACGAAGATTCTGCTCTGAAGAAGAGAAAGGAGAACCGAACAATACAACTGGGTGTCCTCTCCCTAAATATGCCTTCCGTACGTGTGGGCCGTTGGCCCAACAACATGTGGGTCATGTATGCAAGGGGGGTGTGACGGTGCTACAGTGGGGGGACAAAAGTTCCGGTCAATGACGCTAGCGCGTCGCGTACGCGCGTCTCCCACATTCCAACCCTTCCTCTTCAAATCACCATCATGCCTTCAAAATGAGCCCAATTACGCCCAAAAAACACTGGAGCCCTCATAAGAGGACGAAGATTGTGACCCTCTTTGATTGCGGCTTCTCAGCTGCCCTCGTCGGCGTCAAAGAGGACGTTTCTCCTAGAGCTGTCTACGGAATCGTCAGGCGTTACAGGACACAGTCGAGTGCGAAATCTTTGCCGCGCTCTGGGAGACCTCAAAGCTCAATGACACCCATAAAAGATATATCTTTCGATGCATCGCGAAAGACCCTTTCATCTCGAATGCTCAGCTTCTTCGTGAGGCTTCTAGAGTGTTCTACACGTACTTTAACACGGTACCTTCGACACCATGGCATACAACATGTACGCGCTCTTCGACGTCCAAAATTAACAGAAGAACATGCTGCAAAGAGGCTACAATTTGCACTACAATACCATCAAAAGCCAGCTTCCTTTTGGCATACATGGATTTTCTCTGATGAGACGTCAATCGCTCGTGGGGACGGCGAGAGACAGAAGTGGGTTTTGCAATTCAGTACGTCTTAATACCCTTACTTCAAAAATCCTCCTAATTGCAAAAGGTGGATAGATTAAATCCGAAAAACGTACAAGCAAGAGGAAAACCTACTCGACATTCCCAGATGTTTTGGGGCGGCTTCTCCTTTAATCGGCGGACTTCTCTTACACCAATGCTAGGAGACCCCGACTCAGCCCGTGGTGGCGTTACTGCACGCCGTGTGCTCGAGACCTTACAAGAAAGCCTACCTACAATTGCAGAGCCAGGCTATACATTCGCCCAAGATAACGCCTCAACACATACGGCGGCCATTGTGCAGGCGTGGCTTGGCTGCTGGGTCGAAGAAAACAGGGTAGATTTGGTCGACTGGCCGCCATATTCACCTGACCTAAACCCCATAGAAAACGTATGGAAGCTGCTTAAAGAGAGCATTATGGAGACTCACCCTGAGCTCTCAGACCTTCCAAAGAACTATAGCTCCAAGCAGAAGCTCTGTTTTGCAGCGGTTGGAGCGTGGAAGACCTTGAAGAGGATACCTCAATCACCTAATAGAATCAATGCCTCGGCGCCTTCAAGCTGTTGTGGCTGCACGTGGCTGGTATACCAAATACTAGCCGAAACAACAATAATCTCCACTCAATTCTCTATATATTTATATCTTCGGCTTCATAATTGACCTTCATTTGGCAAAGTAATGTGCTGTTGAAAGAGGGCTCTGATGCGGCGTTGTGGTGGGTGGGCCGGATTGACCGGAACTTTTGTCACCCGACTGTAGGCCGTCACAGTATACAGCTAAGGGCCCCGACAGGCTAGATCGAAAGGCAGCCTGTAGAGAGTTCTGAGGCTGCAGAAGGCTATTAGGAGACCGCATTAGGCAGCCACATAGGCTGTAGAGAGACTGCATATACGGGGGAAGCTGAAAGAGCCCTCGGCGACTAGGGAAAGTCAGTATGCAAAGGGAGGGCTGGGGAAAGGAGCCCAGCCTCCTAGATATTGTACCTATACAAATGAAAAGGGGATATCAATAGGGAACCAAGGGATATAAATAGAGAGCCTAGAAGAGGGCATTGCAAGAGGGACAGACACGACGGAACACAACAAAAACACACCTATTATTAAAACAATCAATGCTCACTTGCATGCTCTCTTCGTGAGATATCTATCCAGAGCTAAGGAGAGAAATGGAAAGAAAGAGAACTCGAGTTCGCCTCGAGCGTATTGTAGAATGTTCTCATAGCAGCCGGCTTCGCAGAGTGGGGCCGGTACCGGAGCATGGTGTCACTAGATACCTAAGTGGATATTCTCACGAAGAGAGCATGCAAGTGGGCATTGATTGTTTTAATAATAGGTGTGTTCTGTTGTATTCCGTTGCGTCTGTCCTCTTGCAATGCCCTCTTCTAGGCTCTCTATTTATATCCCTTGGTTCCCTATTGATATCCCCTTTCAGTTGTATAGGCACAATATCTAGGGGCTGGGATCCTTTCCCAGCCCTCCCTTTGCATACTGACTTTCCTAGTCGCCGAGGGCTCTTTCAGCTTC